CTGCCCTGCTGCCGGCGCTCTTGGGAAGGCAGGCCTAGCGCCATTTCCCTGTCCATGCAGAACTCCAACAGCAGACCCCGGCTGGGGATGTCCCTCAAGAACGTCCTCACACTGCAGGGCGAGACGGACTCAGTTGACTCAGTCATCCAGGTGAACGAGCACATCTTGCCGCCGGCCTGCAAAGACCCCCACCTGGAGTCCATCCCAGCCACGGCTGCCGACTCAGTCAACCTCTTCGACTTAGATCACACGGACCAGGAGCTGCAGATCAGCCAGCTGAACACGCCCATGGATTGACCACGCTGCCCCAATGCGGGTGGCATGAGGTTAGGAGGGACCTGCTCTTGGTTCCCCCCGCAAGCTTAGGCTATGCATAGTGACCCCCTGGATGGGGAAGCCAACGAGGGCGTGTGGGTACATGGACACGCCTTCTGAGCCAAAGTGAAGCATTGCTATACCACAATACACTCCCTCTATACATAGAAACTGATCCCAAAGTTTGCTGTCTCCCTAATCGTGGGTGGGAGGGAAAACGTGTCTCTTCTTTGTATGGAAACAACAAGGAGTCTGGTGGCACCTTAAAGACTAACAGATTTATTTGGGCATAAGCTTTCTCTGTAACTTTCACTCTGTGCATCTGAAGAAGGGAGGTTTTTACCCACGAAAGCTTATGCCCAAAAAAATCTGTTAGTCTTTAAGGTGCCACCAGACTCCTTGTTGTTTTTGTAGATACAGACTAACACGGCTACCCCCTGATTCTTTGTATGGAAATCACTGACCATTTTCCAGTGGTTACAGGTTGGGATTGTTTAAATACGATGAAGCCGAAACGCTATTGCCAAGTTTACCTGCCTGGTGTCGCTTTCCTTCGTCTCTACGTGTTTTCTCACGGTCTCACTTCCCCCTCCTGCTTTGTAATGTGGACAGCAGCACAGGCCCTTTTACAGCCTGACCCACGCGTGATCTGCCCAGGTTGTAAGTGTTTTATGGTCCCGGAGCTAAGAAAACAGCGGCGACATTTTCGCCTCCGCTCGCCTATAATGTGGAATTTTAAAAGTGGATTAAAAAGCACCACATAGTAAAATTACCGCCAGAGAGAGAGAAACAAAACCTACCAGGCACTGAAGGCAGAGGGGTTCAGAGCAGCCAAAGGCAGCCACTGCTGGCCATCGCCACTGGACCCCGAGCACTTTGTTAGCAGGAGAACATCAACCTTCAAGTGCTCAGATGCTACAGTGCGGAGGGCATAGCATTATCTGACAAGAGAAGATGATAAGACATAAGAATGGCCACACTGGGCCAGACCAAAGGTCCATCCAGCCCAGTAGCCTGTCTTCCAACAGTGGCCAATGCCAGGTGCCCCAGAGGGGATGAACAGACCAGGAATAATCAAGCGATCCATCCCGTTGCCCATTCCCAGCTTCTGGCAAACAGAGGCTAGGGCCACCATCCCTGTCCACCCTGGCTAATAGCCATCGATGGACCTATCCTCCATGAATTTATCTAGCTCTTTTTTGAATCCTGTTATAGTCTTGACCTTCACAACATCCTCTGGCAAGGAGTTCCACAGATGGACTGTGCATTGTGTGAAAAAATACTTCCTTTAGTTTGTTTTAAATCTGCTGCCTATTCATTTCATTTGGTGACCCTCTGGTTCTTGTGTTAAGAGAAGGAGTAAACAACACTTCCTCATTTACTGTCTCCACACCAGTCATGATTTTATAGACCTCTATCATATCCCCCCTTAGTCGTCTCTTTTCCCAGCTGAAAAGTCCCAGTCTTATTAATCTCTCCTCATATGGCAGCTGTTCCAGACCCCTAATCATTTTTGTTGCCTTAGACCATCATGAAGAGCAGCTGTAGGGTCAGCTAAGGCTGTGATTCTCAGACACTGTGCTGTGTTACAGTACTGGAATCAAGGCTCTCTGCTCTAATCGCTACTCTAATTCTCAGCCTCTCTTCTCTGCCCTAGTGCCTGACGCCTTTCTTGCACATTCGCATTCCTGAGCTGGATCACGAGCAGCTCCAAGCCTCATGCTCACCCAAAGCCAGTCCCTAGCGTGGGTTAGAACATGTGCAGTTGAATGGGCGATTGTGGGTAATGGGCGATTACAACCAAGGGCTTAGTCCTACAAACTGGGGTTGTTGCCTGAGAAGCATTGGAAGTAAGGGCTGGTGTGATGCTTTTAGTTGGAAGGGCCACTCCCTGCTAGCTGCATGACTATCATCCAGTGTTTGCTGCTCCTACGCAGGTACTGAACAGTCCCACATTGCCACCTCCTAACACACACACACACACACACACACACACACTTGCTCTCAGAGTACCAGCACTGATGGCGTGAGGCATCCCTCGAGTCTTTTCATGCTGCTGTTTCCTTGAGAAATCATCAGCGCGGTGGGTGTCTGAGCAGAACATCAGGATGCTGAAAGACTCATTATATGGTGCGTCTCGGCCACAAAGAGGAAAAGGGTCACTGGTAACTAGCTTCAGAAATAATGATTTTTTTTTGGCTCTTACAATCCCACTGCAGAGGCTGATGGGATGTGAACCACAGCGGGTGACACCGGCCACTGTGCTTTTAGAAGCTCTGTTAATGAGGCCACTGGCCAGAGAGCAGCAGGGTTAGCTAGTGCTGGGAAAGTCTCATGGCGCCGCTGTGAGCAGAAAGCCCAGCTGCCCCCCTCAGCTGTGCAGAACTCATGGTCTGGTACTCAAGGGCTTGATTTGTTCAGTCTAAGGGGGGACCCCCCACTTTCACGTAGAATTACTATGCTTATGCCCTGCCCCCGACCCATTTAATTACAATAGCTTTTAAAAGATGGTGCAACAACCCCGTCTCTTTGATACAGGCTTAAACAGCCAGTTCTCCTTGTTCTCCTTAAACAACCCCTGGCTGCTTCTCGTGAGTCTTCCTGTTTGAAACCCCCCAGTGTGGGGTTCATGTCAGGGAGGGTGGGTGGAGAAAGCATGTGGGGGTAGAGTGCCATTCTGCTCCAGCAATGCCCAGCTGCCAGCATGCCCATGGAGTGGGGAAGAAGATGCCATGAGCACCCATAACTGCCAATGAAGGCAGTAGGCATTGCCGGGGCCGTGCCCCGCTGAAAACCAGACCAGTAACTGCTCTCTGCCTGAGTTTCCTCACTTGTAAGGTGGGGGATAAGAACGATCCCCCCACTTTTGTAAAGTGTTTTGAGAGACTCAGATGAAATGTGGCTAAGTGACGGCGCCGTGATGTTGTTGTCATTCTGGATGCTGTTGGAGGGAAGGGATTCATTATAATGGGCATTTGTGTTATGAAAAAAAATCAGGGGAAAACTCTTAAGGGGGAAAAAATCAAATCTGCTCTGCATTTTGGCACTGCTGCTGCTCTGTGCGCCTTGTGACGTTAGGCCTGAGTCACGGTGCAGCACGAAATACGCTCGGGGTCACAGCAGAGGTGGTGTCCTGGTTGAACTTTGAGATCGGCAATTGCAGCTTTCCTACCTTCAACTGCCCCAGCACTTTGGATACAAGGTATAGTTTTATTCTCGTGCCCTGTGAAATGGCTGCAGGGCTTCAACGGTGGGAGAAGTGATTGGTGCATAAGGTTTGTAAAAAACGTTGGAATAAAAGATATACTATGCTATTAGTACTGACGTGACGCCTGTCCATGGAGGGAAGTAAAGGAAGACTGTGTATGTGTCAACAACAGCAGCACCAGCCTATGCTCCCACTTCCCACCCCCCAAACAGGCTTAGTTTCCTACTAAGCCTGCATTTGGAGCAAGATTTTACCAACTTATGTTGTTTTAAACATAAAACTTGAAGCTGTAATTAGAATGGGGGGTAAGTCTTTGACAGCCTGCTGGACTGAATCAACTCAACGGTAAAATCACGAGAGACTTTGTTCTTCTCTAGCACCTTTCATCCAGGGAGCGCAAAACTGTCTCAATCCCCACCAGGGATATGCTCATATGGGGAAACTGAGGCAGGGACTTCGCAAAATGTCTTGTGCAACGTCTCAACCAGCCATTAGCAGAGTCATGATGAATGAACCCGGGTTTGCTCCCTCTATTGCCTCCGTATGAAAGGCTGGTTAACAAGATCTGAGATGGACAGGCACAGGTGAATCAAGCCCAATTGTACATGTAAAACTCCAAACATACCTGGCCACATTAAAAAACAAAAACAAAAAACCCAACAGTGCAAAACAAATTAAACCTTTTAATTTCCTAGTGAGAATACTAAACAGGGGGGTTCCTGGTCTCCAAGATACTCTTTCAATGCCCATCAAGTCACCTGGTTCTCTAAGACTCACAAGTTACAGCAGCATTTTCTTATAAAGGTGACAGTTGTTCCCCAAAGAATAAAGGCCAGTGCCTCAGCTGGTGTATATCCATCACTGAACTAGAGCAGCTGAGCATCTGCCCCGGGGTCCTTTCCTCCGCACACGGGAGAACCCATCGGCAGTAGCTCTGAAGGTTTTGATCCAGTAACGCTCCTACGCTGTATGCCAGTTTCCATGTGGTCCTGAAAGCAGCCGTTGAAGTGTTCTCTTCGGGGTTCTGTTACCACGTGCAGGGCGACAGCACCTTGTTAAAGCATCTCTACGCAGCATCAGTGACATGGCTAGTACATTGGTATGTCCGTCTCTGTGCTAGTTTGTGCACAAAAGCACTGAGGGGAGAGGAGGAGTGGGGGGCTCACCACTGACACCACAGTCCCACCAGCCGGCCATGAGGCACTCCTAGGGCAGCAGCAGACGCTAGAGGGACAAGGGAGAGAGCCCGATGTCTCATGTCAAACTCCCACTGAGTCATGAATTTTTCATGGGTAGCAGGGGAGGAAACAGAACCAACCCGAGAGGCTGCAGGAACGGCTGTGAGATTTCAGCCCCGCCTGTCACAGCAATCAATATTCCCCTCTGGAAAGCAGATGGCTGCTCCCCTGTTAGATCAAAGCGGCCTGGCTGACCATGTGCCTGCAATGGCAGCAGTTGGGCCTTTCCACACCAGCTGGCGTTTCCCATTATGTAGCGTGAAGTGATGGGAAAACAGGAGGAAGCAGTGACCATGGCATCCCACCCCCGGCCGCTGGGAAGCTCACCGGGTTGTAGAGTCATGTGAGAGAGGTTTTAATCCTAGCAGAACATCCTCCCACCGTAACACACTCAAAAGGATCCCTGATTTGTTTCCCCTCAAGACAGACAACTCTGGGTTATTTGATGCGTCTAGTGCCTCTCTAATGCAATAGCACAGCAACTATGGGCGTTATTACCTTTGCTAACAACCGGTTTGTCACATCCATTTTCTGGAGGGTCCTATAGCTCCACAAGTCCTGGGATTCCCCTGGGATGAATGTTCTGTAGTCACTGCCCCTAGAACTGGCCAATGGCACCAGTGTTGTTTTGAGGGGAGGGGTTTGGTAGATGCCCTTCTGCACTGGAGTGCTGGACAGATCGCGTGCTGTGGCCATGATGCAGCGACCAAGGGAAGAGTCAGTAATTCATTCTGAGGCAGGGATTCAGTCCAGACCTTGGTGTGCTGCCGGCTTTTTGAGGTCATTAGTGTCTGAACAGCCTGGGCAGGGAAGGAAGGTTCCTCCCAGGACATGAGCAGCAGAATCAGGGCAGGGCAGAGGGTTGGCTGGTAAAGGTTTTTCCAGCCCGGCTGGGTTCTGGTCTCTGCTGGCATCCAAAGGGCCTGGAAATTCAGAAACCTCAGGGTGTGCAAGATCCGAGTTCCTGTCACTAGGGTGCAGACTTTCGCTGGGTACAGGTTGCCAGGACCAGTGATCATGGCTGATGGAATTATCATCTCCCAAGGTGCTTTCCTCTTCCTGACTCTCTGCTGTCGGCTGTCTTTGCTCACCCTGGTTGGAGAAAAGGCTGAGATTCCCCTTCTCCTCCAGACGACACTCCTTGGTTTTAATGCCCACAGCCTTCAGGATAGTGTCCATTTGCTTCATGTAGTCCAGGTGGCCATTCACCTGCAAAAAACAACATAGTCCTGTGAGTATGAAAAGTCCCATTAACGCCCAACTACGCCAGATAGGCAGAGCTCTGCACACGGGGGCTAGCAGCTGCAGGGAGATTCAGCCTTGGCTTTGAAAGACAGGGAGAAATACGTCTGAAAAATTCAGTTCCCCAAGACTATTGGTGATTAACCACTACCCCAGCCACATGCAGATTCCCACTGGCTGCTCCATTCCTGCATCACTCCACACTCTTCATCACCTTTGCTTCATGAGCATTATTTATGCGGCGTGTTTAAAGCCTTGGACACCTCTAGCTTTTAAGAAAAAGTCTTGATGTTGTCAGGCTAAGAGAGGACGTGTTTGTAGTGGTTAGAGTTCGAGGCTGGGAGTCAGGAGGTCTGGGTTCTGTTTCTGGCTCTGCCACTGATTTGCTGTGGGCAAGTCCTCACCTCTCTGTGCCTTAGTTTCTCCACCCGTAAAATGCAGATAATTGTGTCTACATCCAAGGTGTGTAGTGAGAATTAAGATGTATTAAGAGTTTTAAGGTTGTTGGATGGAACCTGAAATAAGACACTACTGAAACACTGTTCTAGCCTTAAGAACATACTGAGATAGGACTGTGTTTGGAGTATACATAAGGCAGGGCTCTCTCTTACATTGTGATCACATGTAATTACAAGATAACTACCTTCTGAGAGGCATATTGGACTCCTCCCTAAATCAGTGCAAGCAAGAGAGAGAAAAAATAGTCAGATTTCCCTCTGTTTAATTATAATAATTATGTTTAAGTATAATCAGTTTAAAAGGAACAAGGGAACATTAAGGATCCTAACCCGCCAGTCTGATGGCAGCCAGCTGCCGTTTCACTCCAAAGTGCAGCGTCTGCGGAGTGAGGCTTTTGAAGTAGTGCAGCTAAGATCCTCAATAGAAAAGACTTATCTTTAAATATCCTTTTCTATTCTACTCAGCCAAATGTGCGGATGCATCTGCCAGCAGAAGAGAAACAGCCTGGAATTACCATGAAAACGCCATTAGCCTGAGTCATGACTGCTTTCATGGCCCCCAGCTCAGCTGGCAGTAGAGATTTTAGCAGAGACTAAAGGTGTATGATTTTTAATCCTAGGGGTCCTTAGTGTCTGCAGCCAATCCGCTCTCCAACGGCTGGCTCATAATGCACCATGATAGAAGTTCCTTCCTTACCCCAGCTGGTAATCAGCAACACCCTGAAGCATGAACTCTAATAGCCTTGTTATTTGAATAAATATGTCTAATGCTTGATTTTCATTTTTCGAAGATATTTACCCCACTAGAATAATGTCTGACCAACTAAGTCTATGTAGAGCTGCGGGGGATACAGCCAGTGGGGAATTCCCTTAGGACGAGGAGATCCCCAGCTGCATCCTTAGGACACTTTTAAGTGCTGCAAAGGGGATTTAGTCGGAATCAAAGATCTGGCCCAATTACTGGCAACGTGAATAGAGTCTCCAGATACTAAACCAGTCCAGAATTATTTCCTGTGAAGTCAAAACTCAAACCTAGCCATTTGTAGAAAGCAGCTTTTGAGTGGTAACATTTGGATGCACTTAGAACTTGGAGCGAATTGAAGGATTTAATCAGCACATTAATAATTCAATATGCAACTTTAATCAGCCCAGATGGCTCAACAGGCTTGTTATATTTTGAACAGATTAGTACTTTAATTAAAATAACCACCAAAGGCCTAATGGATTGACTGTTCAGATGTGCACACTGTTCTCAGAAAAAGTATGAATCCTTTATGCATCAGTATGGGGGTTTAGGAGGCAGTGAAATAAAGGACGTTAGTTGAGAGGTGGATTAAGTGGAGAGGAACAGGTACTGGATTTACTGGAAAATAAAATGTGTAAAGTCTCCTGTTTGGCTCCATTTCCATCCCGAGATGTGCTCCCTTTAAAGACAGCTGTTAGATTTCCTCTAGTTGGGCAAGACTGCTCAGTGAGCCAACTCTTGAAATCATTCTTACTACAGGGCTGATTCCATATGGTACAGAGCCCAGCATCCAGGGGCACATGAATTCTTACTGTTTGGACTTACATTGACTTCAGCGGGCTGTGGATCGGGGCCTTAAGGAGAAGAGGTAGTCCCAAGGGACCCGTGCCCCCATGAAGCCTTATATGGAACTGGAGATGATTGCCCAGGAGTCTGAAAAGCCAGATAAATGCAAGCGCTGTACAGAGCTTAATGGTAGGCAAGACTCTCCCAAAAGTGCACTACATACTGTAGAGCTGAGCAAAGAATTGCCAGCAAAAACTGTTAGCCAAATGGAAGAAGCCAGGGTTTCAGGGAAATTCCTCTGCCATCATGACTGGAAAGTGCAGCTGTTCTAGGTCCTTGACAGCCTGCTTTTGAAATGCAATCCATCCTTCAGAAATCTTGGCGGTTGCACCTCAGCTGTTGCACAAGGAGAGCCTTAAAAACAGGGAAGGAGGGGGAATCTAAAGGGTGCTTTTCAAAAAGCGTTATAAGGCTTTAATGGAAGAATAGAGAGTGTAAAATGCAAACACCTGTTTGGTTATTCTTCGTGGCCAGCTGCAGTAAGAACTATAAAAAGAAATGCAATTAAAAAAGTGCTTTTCTGGCCAAAGTTATTACTTTATAGCTTGTGGCGGGAAAATAAAAATCATGGGCCAGAGTCACCGCTATGCACTGGTGGCCTTACCCCGTTAAAGTGGGTTTTACAGTCGCTTGCATCACCAGAGCGGCACAACGCTGCTGGACTGTACCACGAATTCTGCCCGAGTAGCACGGAACAAGGGTGCAGAAAGCTGCGGGTGTAGCTACCGACTTCTCCTCTGAACTACAGTACAATTTAAAGGAGTCCCCATCAGAGACATTTTGGAAATGTTTTAAAATTCAGACCCATCCAAGAGTGCCAGAAATGTCCTTGTACATTCTCAGCTGTGCCTAATAAATTCAGGCAGAATGATTTCTGCTCAGTGTAATAAGTGCCTGGGGTTATGGGGTCATAAAAACGCAGTTCAATTTGCAGGAGCTTTTAAAATAAAAAAAAATGTTGTCCCATGCCTGAAAGCAAACCACTGAAGGTCTCTGCCTGGAGACAAGTGATGGGCCTTCTGCCGTGGATGCAGTTGACTGGATTAATGACAGCAATTCCAGGTGGAGAGGAGAGGGGGATACACAGCTGGGTCTGAAAAGTGATGACAATGGGATCAATTTGCAGTTATCGCACGGCCTTCTGTTAGTCATAAGCTGTTGCTGGTCGTACAGCTCTGCTCAACTGACTGGGCTGTTTGAGAAGCTCCGAGAAGGAACAGATAAAGCAGCAGTATATGTATAAGAGAGGATCCTTGCCCAAGGATCAGCCTTTGAGAACAGGGAAGGGATTATTACAATTTTAAAGCATTTTTGGCTATACGACTGCAAAACGTGACCTTCAACTGCGTACAACCTGGAGGCGACACTTGAGAGGGTGTATGGCGTGGTGGACAGGGAGTGACCTAGGAAGCAGGCAACTCAGCTCTAATTTTGGCTTTGTCATTGACTCACTATCGGTATGAACCAGATTCCAATACCCTTAGTCAAGCTGTGTCTCATTAATTAGTAGTAGCAGCTAGAGACCCCTGCCTGCAACCCTGTTGTGCTAGTCACTATACATTGTAACACAAAGCAAGAGAAAGTCAGTATCTGGAAGAATTTGCAGTCCAAACAGACAAGACAGACAGACGATGAGAGAGGAACCAGAGATGGGAAGTTTCAGAGTAGCAGCCGTGTTAATCTGTATCCGCAAAAAGAACAGGAGTACTTGTGGCACCTTAGAGACTAACAAATTTATTTGAGCATAAGCTTTCGTGGGCTACAGGAGAGATAAAGGGCAGAGCAGCTGAGCCAGGCAACGTTCCCCCTGCTCCAGCTGATGAGGCCTCCTGAGTATTCAGTGAGGATTACAAAGAAGCAATAAGCACATGGCCCTGGCAATGAACTCACGGGCACACTCTGCTGTTTACAAGAGCCCAGGACATCTGGATGGCTGAGAATTTCATTTTCTTTGATTTTCTTGACACTTGTAATATCCAGGGAGCAGCTTGTAATATTCACAGAGCAGCTTTATCATGTGGTAAAACCCGCACAAACTAAAATGACAGTCCAAGGCTGCCTTGCTTTGGTAGGGTCAGTACGGCACTATCTTGCAGGAACCACAATAACAGGGTTTGCTTTAAAAAAAAAAAAAAAACCACCATCTACAATATTTTTTAAATTTATTTCTGTGTGAGATGGGTAGGGGTAATAAAGGGAATTGCTGCTTCTGGAGCACACACAATAATCATATCTTACTTTTATAAAGCACTGTTCTTCCCAAAGGACCATCAAATGCTCTACTTGCATAGACCATGCTAATGAAATGCAAGCACCGTTGAGGCAGAGCGCCTCAGCTGGGGGAGCAGTAAGCACCTTCATTTATTGTGAATTCATGTATTTATTTTCAATTATTTTCCTTTTCAGACTGTGTCATTGAATCTATTATTCATGACAAGAGTCAAATTAACAACTCTGGAGTCTGAAGTATCGGTTGAGCTGCCAGAGGTTTGCTGCTGCTGCTGCTAATAGAGGGAAGGAAATGCAAAGTCTCCCATCATATTCTCCTCCTAAAATCCCCAAACGGTTGTCGTCAGTTCCACCTCAGTACCAGTGCGGCTCTGCTCTTCCAGCAGAAGGCAGCGAGGGCTGAGGGTAGGACACATGAGCAATGCCAGCCTTTCCAGTGCCAAAATGCAGAGCATTAATCTTTGCCCAGTGGGAAGATTACTCTGGTCACAAAGCGACATTTGTCTGTAACCCTGATCCTGCAGGGTGTTGAGTACTTCCCACAAGATGGGAGTAGAGGACATACAGCCTGTCCCAGAAAAGGCTCAGTACCCTGTACTCTGAACCCTCACATCGACAGACCTAGAAGTGAAACAGCAAGGGCAGCGTAGCCTAGGAGTGACAGGTATTGAGATGCACAGGGTCCCACC